AGAGGGGAGCAATTACAGAAGGCAGTAAATAGGGTGGAGGTAGGAAGGGCCCCCTTAAACTTGACATCTGCTGTTCTGGGCTTAACCCCGAAGTCTGGGTGACCTTGAGCCTCAGTTTCCTCTTGTGTGACATGTTTGGTTCCGAGAATGAGGGTCTCAGTTTTACAGCATCTCCAAGCAGAGGTGGGTGGAAGGGTCTTTCAATCACGGGGTTCTCCGCCGGTGAGGGGGGGCGGGGAGACTGTGGCCCCCAGGGAACGGCGGCAATGACTGCAGACTGGGGGAGGGGGCGATCGGGTGGCCAGAGATGCCGCTCTACTTCCGACAGATCGGAGAGCCCGCCCCGACGACAGAGGGATCCCGCCCAAATACCAGTGGTGCCGAAGTGGAGAAGCCGCGGTAGAGATGCAGGTTTGCAACCTCCGGCTTTCCGGCGTTCCCAGCTAGTGGGGCGGCTCCTGCCAGAAGCGCTTTGCTGCTTCACGTTTCCGCGATGGGGGTCGCACGTGGCTATGCAGACCCCCCCCCGCCCCGCCACACCCACTCCCACACCCTCTGAGGGGCGGAGGTGGCCGCGGCGACATCCCCGAGCCCCTCCGATGACCCTTCGGGACGCAGAATCACAACGTGAACGTCTGGTTCCCTCGCCCCCTCAAAAAACTCGACAGCTGCTAAGCCTGCAACTCCCGTACCCCAGTCACGCGCCAGGAAGGGTCTCCCCAAGAAAGGATTCTCCCATCGCCCTCCCCGCCCTGAGGTAGCCGCCGCGAGCGTCAGGGTTCAAGGACTCTTCGCGCGCGCGCTTCCGTCGGAAAGCCCCGCCCCGTGACCCGGGCTGGGGCGGGGCCTCCAGGCAGTGACCGTTGCCCCGCCCAACCTCCTCCCAACGGCTGCCTTGGCTGGGCGGTGGGGCGGGGCGGCACGGGCGGGCGAATGCGCCTGCGTGCGCATGCGCGCTGGTGAGGGGCGTGGACCACGGGCTGCCCCGCCCAGGTTTGGCGTCTCCTCCAGCCCCATCTCCCAACCTCCTCAGCGTGGCGCCGACGCTGCGTGCGGCGCTGACTACCCAGAGTACTCCGCGCGGGGGCAGCTCACTGGAGTTTGGTTCTCGAGGCGGCGGCAGCGAGCGGCGGCGGCTCCGGCAGCTCCTCCTCCTCCTTCGGTGGCGGCGGCGGCCCGGGACCGAGACCCGGCCCCGGCTCCCCTCTCCGCCACCCCGCGCGCCCCCAACTCCCCCGGCGCCGCGGGGAACATGCGGCTCCGGCTCCCGGAGGCCGGCGAGTGAGTGACCCCCGTCCCCCGCCTCAGCCCGCCCGCCCGCTGGCCCGGCCGCAACCCCCCGCCTCGCCCAGGCAATGACAGCGGCTCCGGCGTCTCCGCAGCAGATCAGGGACCGGCTGCTGCAGGCCATCGACCCCCAGAGCAACGTAAGTACCGGCCGCGCGAGCTGGGACGGAGGCCGCATGGGCCCGGGACCCTCCCCCTCTCCTGTCCCTTTCGCCCAAAGGGCTTCAGGGGACCCGTCTGGCGCCCACCTCCCTTCAAGGGCCGCTGCCATCCCTGCCTTTCGCTCCTCGGGCCCGTGCCGGGGGCAAGTTGGGCAGCCCGGCAACGCTCTGTACGTGAGGCCGAGGCTTCCGTGCGGCCTGGGCGGAGGAAGCAGACAGGAGACTGAGGCTAGAGCTTTTCCCCCCTTTCTACTCCAGCTCTACGACCCTGACTGCTCTGGACGAAGCCCCCCTGCCTCGCCCTCCCTCCGGGACCCGAGACCCCCGGGAAGCCCTCCTGGAGCGGGGGAGGGGAGGGAGAAGGTCTGTGAAGCAACTGGTGTCCGGGGTATGACTCGGGGAACCTGTGTCTCTCATTTCTCGGCCTTCTGGGCGATCAGGGAAGTCCTTGTTCCCTCTCCTCCCGGCCGGCAGCACCTACCCGGCTTCGCACAGAACCCCCAGTCTGTTTTGCCCCTGGCGGGGTAACCAGGGTACGTGGAGAGTCTGTCTCTGTTCTGTGACTGGACACGCCTTTGCCAAAAACCCTCCTGGGGTCGCTGCCGACGACAGATGATCGCGGGGAGGGTGGGATCCTTCCTGTTGCCTTTCTGGGCCTAAGTACTCATTGCGTCTCTGACCAAGCCAGAGCTCCATTTTTTGGCTAGTGAATTAAAGAGGACTGTTTCCTCTCCGTTTACCCAAAACCCGTGTTTCAGTCAGCTCTTTCCCTCACGTGGGGAGTCTCGGCTCGGTGGTTTGTGACCCAGACTGTCAGGGTTAACTCTAGGGTGTCGCTTCCTCAGGTGCCCCTTTGCTGGGGCTACTGTTTTTAGAGGGACCACCCCCTCCCCCCTCCGTGTGTGTGTGTGTGTGTGTGTGTGTTGGGGGGGTGGGAAGACTGATCTATTCTCATATTTTCTCTAAGTGTTTCTTGGCAGTAGGGGTCATTCTTCTGGCGGCAGGAGCAGGGCGGTGGGAAGATGTGGTAGCATCCAGGTATGAAGTAAGGGCCTGGGAGACCAGGAAGTGGCCATTGAGATCACTTTTTAATATGCTGTGAATGGAAGAAAAAAATCATCTTTGGCTTGGCCAGGTAACTCAGGTTTCTCTTCCCATGGGGGTTTTTGCTTTTATTTTTACATGAGCTTGGCTGATTACTCTTAGCAGTATGCTTAACTCTGATGATGTTTTTGGAATAATTCACATTGGCTTAAACAATTTTGGGTAAAGACTGAAGGGTTATGAGTTTTTTCTAAGGCTCTGGTTGCTGTGACATAAGTACCGCTCTTATCCCTGGTAATCAGGTCCCATTAAAATTGATTGTAATTGTGTTTAACAAATTTTGTGTTATACATTTTTGTCATGACTTTGGGGGTGGAGTGGACACAAGCTATATAAAACCTTCTAGAATGTCCTTTTTGCAGTAACTGGTGCCACTGCAATTTTAAAGACTGAAATATTAGAGGATAAAACAGGTGACATGAAAAAAATAGCATTGGTGACTTGTGCATCTTTTGTGGAGTCAGAAGGTAATTTTTTTTTAATCTCACGTGCTCGCTTCCCTTCGGGAGAGTCGGAGAGGTTGCTGAGATATTAGCATTGATCCTTAATGCCACCTCAGAGAGCTTTGGGATCAGGCAGTGTTGTAGATTAGGCCACCCCAGTGACCTCAGGGGTTCCACTGTTGTGTAAGGCTCTAATCTAGAGGGTTCCTTGAGGCAGAAGAGAGAAAGGAGGAGGGAAGGCACCTTCATTTTGTATGTCTTAGCATATGCAGAAATGTTATGTAGGTAGGTCCCTGGTTATGTTACCTGGTGTGGAATTTACCTGATGATAATGGGCAGAGTCCTACTAACATGGAGTGCATGGATTTGGGAAATTATCTCTTTGACTATGAGCAGTGAGGAAAGTGCCTCCTTTGTGAGTGACCCTCTGGGCGCTGTTATGGGCCATTTGACAGGACCATTCGATAGGACCATTCGGTTTGAGCAAACACCATGCAGAAACCCAGAGCCGCAGTGGACAGGGTTGCTGGCAGAGGTGGTGGTGAGGGCCAGGCATGTCAGTATGTCTGCAGTTTCTCTCAGATCAGTGTGGGTTCAGGTGAGAGCAGGTGGCTCCAGCACAGGCACTGCTGGCCCGCTGTCTCCTCTCTGGCCTGCGCAATGATGGACTCCACTATTGGATATTTAGTTGACACATATTTAGGATCCTCATGGAAAGAAAAAAAAACGGGGACAGTGTTGAAGAGCCAACACTAAAATTAAACCTCTTCTGAGAGAAGCGGCAGAGAATTGTGTCATGTAATGCTTACCTTTATGCAATTATGGTTAACAAACTTAGCTGTTGCTTGCAAGATCAGTGTCAGGAGCTGACCTAATATCCACAAGTATCTGGAAAGTTGAGGAAGTGACGAAGTCATGTTTACCAACCATACCCTTGACAAAGGAATTCTTAGGAGGAAAACTGTTCCTTTGCTGTAACTTTTAGCCCCTGGAGTATGCATTTTTGAATTCCTATAGCAGCAGGCTCACAGTTAGTAATTTCTGCCAATTCAATAATAAAGTAAATCCTCTACTCTCCTTTTCAAAAGGCTACTAACAGTTTTTCAGAGCAGTCAGAGCCTTTCTTTTTGCCGTGCACCCTTTCAGCCCCGGATGTTGAAAATCTCCGAAGCGCAGTGTGTGCATGATTGTTCCAGCTTCCTCTCGCTGCATTGTGGGTAAAGTGAAGGACCGTGTCTTACTCTCTCGCACAGCTGTCGTAGTGAGCAGTCTCCTCTCAGCAGGTGATTCAATTCCCATCTGCCTGGGACACTTGTCGTTTTGTGGAGATACAAGCTTTATCGTCCTGAGCGGCACTCAAGCTCCTTGGGGATGTTTCATGTCTTGTCTTCTCCCTCTAGAGCAGAAGCAGTAGACATGCTTTCTACCTGCTGCTTAAACCGACTGAATGCTAGCCTCCGTCTTGGACCTGTGCCCGAGGAGCTACATTTGAGCGCCATTTTGCCAGGAAGCCTTTGTGACCATCTTATACCCAAAAGTTCAGTCATGGAATCTTCTAATGCAGAACTTTGGAGACCGAAAGAATCACAGGTGGCTTGAGACCCTGCTCAGTAGAACTTTGAGGAACACGGATCTTAAGTGATGATGAACAAACAGCTTTTAGAGGAAAGCTCTGGCAGATACTAGACGGTGTACTGCATCCTTGTAACAAGCAAAATAACAGCACAGGGCAGGGCTTGCTAGCTGCAGGTGAATGCCCTGTGTTCAGATCAGGGAGACACCTGAGAAGGTCCTGCAGCAAAGAAGGAGCTGAACTATCCCTGGACGTGTGTGTCAGTGCCTCCAGCGGCCAGGATCTGAGCAGGAAACGTCCTTGGGAGCTGCTTGCTTTCTCACAGCTCTTGAGACAGCAGAGACCAAGGGGAGGTGACTGAGGGACTCTACAGAGACACAGCAAGAAAGATAATTTTCCCACCTAAGAATTGGAAGGTTAGATGTTGCTACCCTGGCCTGCCTGTGAGTTTGTTCATGGGGTGGGATTGGAAACTGGTGGTGTATGCACCCCATAAAGCTACCTCCAGATCTAAGTTCAGATCCTAGAAGGGACAGCAGAGGCTAATGTGAATTGTCCTAGAAGGTTTTTTTTTTTAATATATCTTTGCAAGGTACAGTGTGTGCAGTTTCTCAACTAAGAAAATTCTAAACCAAGGTGTATGCTTTATTAGTTTGTGTGGCACCCTGTCAGAGAGTTCTACTTCCTCCCAACGGCCTTCTGAGTGAGGGAGCCCGTCTCCCCTTTTGCAGGTGCAGAAGGTAATAGGTGCTGCTCAGTGGGTATCTCCTGGGGCCAGCAGAGGACAAGATGCTTTTGTTTCTTATTGACCTAATGGGAGGTGGTGGAACCGAAGTTAGGGACTTACCCAGAGTCATTAAGTGACAGTGCTTAGAGTCCTTCCGACTTTGAACACCACCACGCTGCCTTGAAAGATGGAGAGATGGCTCCAGAAGAGGCATGAGAGGACAGCATTTTTTAGATGGTAAGAAAACTTGTGGGAAGCTTGTAATGTCCCATATGAGTTTATATGAGAAAACAGCTTGGGGCTGGATCTACCTGTGTTAGACCTAACAGGGTGATGATACGAGACAGCCTGTCCCATGGACATCTTAAGGTCTCTGTCATGGACAGAATCCTGGGCCAGACCACAGTATGGCAGTTATCAACTGATACAGAACTTTTCGTGAGTCTGTGTGACCAGTTTGCTCTCTGCTTCAAGATTACAGTACTTTTGATATTAACCTGAAATGCCGTTGATTCTACAGAAAAGCAGAATGATATAAATTGCAAAATGGAGAACTCTATATTTTGACCCTATCCAAAATATTAGAGGACCCTAAACCCAAACATGTAGATGCCGGCTGACCCACAGTTGCCCGGATTCAGGAACACTCTTGTCTTTCCTCTGTATCTTGTGGCCCAGGACACAGGAGAGGAGCAGCATGGTGTTCTCTGACTTCGGGAAATAGAAAGGTAGCAAGTGTCACCTGTGATACAGGTGCATGTCCTTGTCTGTGACTCACTGTCTCTCAGGAGAAAGTAGACTTTACTGTCTGTCCTCACTGAGGTTTCTGGGTAGTCCTCAGTCTTTGTTGTCCTAGTCAGAGGTCCCAGAGCCCTGGAGGACTAAGACCAGCCTGTGGGCAGGGGCTTTATCTTGGATACAGATGTAAAAAGGCACCATGATCACGTCAGGCCCTGGGCAGCTGTGTGAGGTGGGACATGTACCTTAAGGGTGCCAAGCTCCCTTAGGTGAAGGAGGACACCTGGACTCACCTTCTTGATTTTGGTGTCTGCGAGCATCTTCTCAGATGGAGCTCCAGTTTAACCAGACTGACTCTAAGTGACTCAGGTGACTACAGTCCAGTGGGAGGGGTCTCCTGGCTACTCCCCCACTATCATTTTCTGGAAACTGGGTGCTTTGTCACTACAAGTGGTGCTTTTCCTTTGTATAGCTAGTGGTAAGTTGTCCTATGTCTGCCTGGTCCCTTTGGGGACCAGGAGCTGTTTGTCAGAATGGGTGGCTAAGTTTGTGTCCCAGTGGGTCCAGAAGAGGCAGTGCATTTCATTCCAGTGTGTTCTCGCCAGCACCAATGTTTGGAGCACCCTTCCAAAACTCTCAGAGCAGAGTGTGGAGTTGCCATAGGGATTCCCTGAACCAGGAAGCATCTACTGAGTAAGAAAGAACTACCAATAATTCTGCATGCTGTGTTTAAAAGTATTCTCTGAGTGGATTCCATGTCTTGGGAGGCAGTACAATTACGTTTCAGTCACCAACTGATTAGCAAGTGCTTATGTGCTGGGTGTAGAGGTTGCACACCTGAAGATGCCCGGCCCCTGCGCCCAAGGGACCTGGAGCCTCATAGGGAAGAGGGCAGATAGAGCATGTACATGAATGACCTGGAGTAGGGTGCAATGGCGTGTGGGATCGGCAGATAGAGCATGTACATGAATGACCTGGGGTAGGGTGCAATGGCATGTGGGATCGGCAGTCAGGGATGGCCTGATGGTGCTACAGGTCTCAAGTTCAAATGGAACAGTTCTCCCCATGCCTTATTTGGAAACAGTTGAGAATTCTTAAGAATATGAGATGTTTTCTTAAGTATATTCTGTCATCCAGGTTCTCAGAATAAGTTCTGTAGTCAGGCTGGCAGGGACTTCTTGCTTTGTCTCTGGCATGAGGGAAACAGCTGAAAGGAATAGTGGGCAAGTCATCGGGCAGTTTGCCCTCTCTGACATGGGATGGGGCACGGGCAGATGTCGAGCTGTGTCTGTGGGTATGGTGTGGGTATCTGGGCTTGAGAAAATGCGGAGGGCCTTGGGGTAGCATGTCTGTTGGGCTGTTTTTCAGTATTTGGGGTGTTGTACCCTCTGGATTAGGTTTGCTCTGTGTGACTTTTGGAGGCAAGCCTAGGGTGGGGAAGATGAGAGTTCCGTGATGTGCTTAGGGAAACGGTGGATTATTATCAGAGCTGGCCTGACTCATTCCAGGGGCACTGCAAGGTGGCCATGTGGACATGCTCAGGCCCTCTGTATGGGCCCTTGGATTCTGTGACCATCCGAGTACAGGGAGGTCCTGCGATTCTGTATGGAGCCTATTCAAAAGGAGAGAGGTCATGTCAGGTGAAGTACCAGCTGCCCTCTGCGAACTCACATCCCAAGGATTGCCAGGCAATTGGGGTTAAAGGCCCTTGGATGTTACTGGGACTGCAGCAAAGCTTCCTGGGTTCATCCACTGCAGGAAAATGAATCTTGGAAAGCCTCAGGGGGCTCATCAGGTTTCCCTTGCATGCAGTTAGGCTCCGTCTCCTGTGTGCCAGCAGTGGTCTCTGCCGGGCAGCAAAGGCTGCAAGACGAACAGCCACTGTTTACTGAGCACTTACACAGTGCCAGACACTACTGTATGGAGTGTCTCGTTAGTTCTTTGATCTACTCCTAGGGTAAGTGTTTCATCTTCATTTAGGGGTAAGGAGAGATTCACTGATTTGTCCGGTATTGCAGACAATGGAACCAGAAGCCTTGGGCCTGAAGCCAGCACTGGGTGGCTGTGATGGCAGGGAGCTTAACTACAACAGTCTTCCTTCCACTTCCCCACATCAGTGGTGCCCAGTGTGGAAGCTGAACTCTATTGAGTCTTCGAAGGTGTTTCCTGCAAACATGAAGTGTTTTCACGTTACATTTTCAATTCCATTCTTCCCAGTCCCTACAACCATTCCCCCTTTAAATTCCTCTAGCCTAGTGGTGCCAAACCGTTTTGAGTATGAGGGTTCATTTTTATCATCAGAAACCTTCTGGAACTTTCACATAAAACAGGTGTGCTTTGAGTAACTGTTTTAAAGAAAATTTGAGGGCAGAGCCTACTCCTAATCCAGCCGTACTTTGAAATGAAGTTCTATCTTGTCATCAGAACAGCATCAGTGTAACTTTCAGAACAGCCTTACTTGTATGTGTGTGACACCTGGAATTTGACCTTTGTGCTGCCTCCAGTTGGGAGCCTCCTGTCATCCCTACTGCCTCCCTTTTCTGAAACCTTGCCTGGCTTAATCCAAGACCATCTCCCTCAGGAACCATTCATCATTTAAAACCGTGTATTCCTGCTGATAATGGGTGTTGTTGGTTACGTTTTCCATGTGATTGTGAGTGCCTCGGTAGCAGAGCAGGAGTTCCTTCCCAAATATCTAGAACTGCCACAGCATGTGGGTGACCAAATACTTGGTGTCTTACTGTGAACAGGGCCAGTTTTGGGAATGGCTGTCAGCGTTACTGAGCAGGTCCTAGCTGCCAGCAGTTTTCAGCACGTCTGCATTCAAAACACGTGTAATCTTTATAGCAGGTATAGATTAAACAGGAGGCAGGTGCTAGTGAGGCAGCTGAGGCTAAGCGGACACACAGCTGGAAGGAGGCTAGGTGGGATGAGACTGGGATTGGAACACACCCACCTGCTGTCTGCCTCCCATGTCACCTGTGAGAGGGCAGTGGGCGCATGCTGCGCAGGCGCTCCCCTTTCCTGCCTGAGTCCAGCTCTTTATTGCCAGTTTCATCTGTACGCTGCTTTCATGCCAGGCTGGGAGGACAGTGGTCCCTGAAATGCTCTGTGCTTTCTCTGGAACTGGCTGAGGAGGGGGTGTGAGGTGTGTTTTCCTCTTTCTCTTCTGTTATTTTTCACCCTAACAGAGAAGGCCACGCTTGATCCCTAGACACTGTTCAAATGCCACTTCGTCTGCGAAGCCTGGGTCCCCCAGGATCCTTCAGCCTTTTTTGGTCATGTGACCAAACATTTGGCATTCCTGGACACACATCTCCCAAGATTTTCATTTGCTATGGCCAGAAAGTGGGGTGCTGCTTTGTCCAGGCTACACCCTGTGGTGGGTCAGCCTCATGGCTGCTATGGAAACTGGTCACTCGTGTGTTGGGTACACAGCATGGTTTTGTAGGGTGCTGGCTGTGTCTGGCTTGACTCTGGTGGGGGTTCTGTGGTGCGGGTGTCAGCAGTGGGTGAGTTACTGGGAGGACTCAGGTGCGTGTGACCCGTGGCCCACACCGAGAGCCCAGTGGGCTGGCAGCAATCCCAGGCTCTGGCAGCCCCACGGCCGGCTTATGCCTTCACACGGCGGTGTACTCTTCTCTGTTTTCCACCCACACTCCTGGTCACATTGGCTTCCTGGGCAGCCACCTGCACACACTGGGTTTAGGTTCTTCTTAGCCTCTTGATGACTTGTTTTGATGTCCCCCCTTCTAGTCATCAGGTTCCTGGCCCAGCTTCAGTTGGGTGTGAGGAGGTGGCCACATCCTCTTTCCCCCAGGGTAATGTGGTAGTTACCATGGCAGCTAACGGCCCTCCTGTTCTGCAGGCCAGCTCTCCAGAACCCTTTATAAACTGCCCAACTCCATTCACCTCCTCGAATCTTGCATGGTGCCTAGGCAAGCAGTCAGCAAGCTGGCTTTTCAGCGCTGTCAGTGGGAGATCCGTGATACTGATGTGAAGGGGTATGAAATAAGAACAGCTTACCCTTTTGGGTGGTAATTGGTTCACATTGTTTCCTTCCGTGTTCAGTTAGCTGGTTGCCTGCACAGCAACCTGTCTTTACTTCCTATACTAATTCTGTGGCCCGTCCAGCCCCAGAGGGAGGTTAGCACTGTGCTGGGGGCGAGAGCTCAGACACAAAGGGGCTGATGGTCACTCAGGCCTAAAGGCAAGTTTTTGATCAGGTGAGGACCTGGTGTTTCTCCCTTCCTCTTTTGCAGTGCTGTCTTCACACAGTGGGTCGTCTTCCTCTCCGTCCCAGCAGTTTCAGGATTTTCCCCTCACCAAACTCCCAACTCTTTGTCAGAAGCCCCAGCAAACATTTCCTTATGCCTGCTCTGGGCTTTGATTGAATTAGCAGCTTAATTGAATTAGTTGATTGGTTTACCCCTGATCTGGTGTGAGTTCCACCCAAAAAGGCCCTCAATAGAGGGGATGTTCCCAGGAGACACTAAGGTCCTGTTAACGGGAGAAGAGTAGTGGAGCCAGTGTCCCTGGATGGGCAGTGATGTCATCCACTCTATGATGTGACCGTCAAATAGTTGGGCCTGCTGCTGGGCCCTGGATCCAGAAGGAAAAATAGAAGTAACTGAAAGGTAAGGTCGTGAGGAGCAACCGGGTGGTCTGGCTGTGTGAGGTCACCGCGTGGAGTTGTGAGTACCTTCTTGTTCTGGTTGAACCGCAGACTCTGCATTTGCCTGTAGTCACCCTTGGGGACCTCACTGTCACACTGTCCTACTGCAGGTGCTGGCTGGCTGCAGCTTCAGATCCCATTCTGAGCTGGAGAGAGTCTTGCATGGTGCTGTTTTTTCTCCCTGTCCTGCCATTCTCTCCTGGTGCTTGAGTTACTGCCTGGAGTGGGGCCCATGTTGGGACAGGTGGTGCTGTCCTGGTGGCCTGAACCCCCCTAAGGCCTCCTGCAGTCATGAGGAGACTGTGCTATGACCCAGACAAGAGCTGTAGCTTCTCTGAACTTGTGGGCCCTCGGCAGAGGCTGGGAGATCTGTTGGGTCCGATTGTCCTGCCTGTTTTCTCTCATCTGTTCTTCCTCCCTGGGTAACCAGAAACTGATACCTGCGTTTCCGTGCTTGGCTTCTTCCCCTTCGGTTAACAGAGAGGAGTAGAGTCAAGTCTTTTTTTTGCGGCCTCCATTTCCCCCAACCCCACCTTGTTTCTGGGGGCTCTCAGTAAGCACCTGATGTTGGTATCTGCTCCCCTTTTGCCTGGCAATGGCGGAAGTGGGCTGCATGTTAAGTTTCAGGCTCCCCTGTGAGGGAAAGATTTGTAAATGGGTATTCCACCTTCACTTCTGTCTTAAGGGAGTTTCTCAAGCAATTCATTTCTCACCTTGATGGTTGCTGGGCAAGCAAGTGCTGCCCCTGAGTGAGGAGCCTGTCTTCTCCCAGAAGAGCTTCAGCACTGCCCTCCTGCGAGCTCCTCCTGCATTTCTCCTTCACGTTTTCCCTTCTTTGACTACTGAGCTTAAAGAAGTGCTGTTTGGGATTGAAATTAGGGTGGGGAGAAAGGAGAGGGAATCTTTTCTGTTTCTGGTCCTCGGCTCTGTGTGTGTGTGTGTGTGTGTGTGTGTGTGTGTGTCTGTGTGTCTGTGTGTCTGTGTGTCTGTGTCTGTGTCCGCCTGTCTCATGGATGGGCTGCTTCGTGTGTTGGGAAAGGCAGTAGCTCCTGAGTTTGACTTGTTGTAGAGAGGAATTACTTTCTAGTTTCCAGCTCTGGAAACTTCAGGAGAAGCACTCTGGCTTGGCTTGGGGGTGGCATGAGAGGGTCTTGTAAGAAAGTGGCAGTGCCCACAGGAAGTTTGGGAGGAGTTTCCAGAAGGAGCAGGGTCTTTTGTGCAGGCAGAAGCAGCATGTTCCCCCTGGCTGCTCCAGCCCTGTATACCTGAAGGAAAATATTGAAAACCCTGGCCTGGAGTGGGAGTGGGCGCCTTAGGTGTTCGGGTGTATTTGGCAGTTGGTATTTGCGCTGGATTGTATACACAAGACTTGCACATTGCCTCTCTGTCAGCCCAGTGAGGAGTTGGGGTGTGAACAGACGGGCACCTCCTCGTCACCCTGGTGATGATGCTTCTGTGTTGAGAGCACTGTGGACGTGGTTTCCTATCTGATTGCTTGGTGGGCTCCATCAAATTGAGAAATAGGAAGGAAGCGGTATCATCCGTCTGGGAAGATTGTCATGCCAGGTTGTCTTCTCTTTAGGGCGCCGTCCTTTGTGCTCGTCATGGGCACTTGGAATGAATGACAAGGCCTAGCAATGAGAGGTGTCTGCCTCCCTGGTTCCCTTGCCCCTTGCTGCATTGGTCTCTCTTTTCTCTTCTTAACTCCTTCCAGTGGTGCCTGCTCTCCCCAAGCGTTTTGGCTTTGCATAGCACTGCTCATGCTCTTCGGCCCTTAAGATTTTCCCCAGGTGGTCTCAGAACCACAGCCTCTATGGCACCTGGACAGTTGCTCTCCATTGCTGTCTCCTGTGCCTGGATGTCCAGACAGCCCACTCCAAAATGGATACACCTTGTTCACCTCTGCCCTTGGCATGCCGTGCTGTGTCTGCTGGTGGTGCCATGATCTACCGCTCTGTGGACCAGTTAGGGCCATCCTGGAGTCCTCCTTCCTGTAAGCTGGACCTCTAGGGGGTCTACTGCAGCAGCATTCCAATCAGTCTCTTGCTCTGTCTGTCTGAAGACAGATTGGGATGTTTGACTTCTCTGGTGGGGTCATGTTGCTGGCTGGATGGAGTCTCAGCTCGTTAGGTGGCATAGAATGGAGAAGATAGCCTCTCTTGGGTGGAGGACTTAAGCAGAATAGAGTTGGAACCACTGACTTCCATTCACCTTGCAACCGTCAAGGAGATTCGATTTGCAGCCTTTGTTTTTCCAGAAGGCTGTAAGAAATGCGGCATAGGACGGCTTTTAGGAATGGGACGTGGTCCTGTGCCTGAAACGTCCTGTGTGCTCACATGCATGGTACCTAATAATACACAGGCTTGGTGGTGGGCAGCCCATCTAGCTCCCATTGCTTTCCTCCTGGTCTCTACATCCTAGTTTTCCTGAGAGCTACCCCTTCCTCTCTCCAGTCCATGCCTTTTGGATGGTTAGTAACTTAGGTAGGACTGGCCAGTTACGAGTTTGCATCTTCTTGGGCAGTGATTGGTTCGGAGACAGACCTGTGACCCAGTCAGAGCCTGTGAAAGTTGTAGCACTTTGCTGGAGTAGGGTGGGGAGACTTGACTGGGAGAGGATGTGAGCTGGTTTCTGCTGGGGTTTGCTGCCTGGGGGGCAGCCTATCCAGGAGTAAGACCTGGTCAGAGGAGTGGAAAGGACTAAGACCTCATGGCTTGGCTGATCTGAGGTGAACTCTACCTCAAACTTTTGTGTGTGTGTGTGTGTGTGTGTGTGTCAGAGTGTTGCTCGGTCGCCCAGGCTGGAGTGCAATGGTGTGATCTTCTGTTCACTGCAACCTCTGCCTTACGGGTTCAAGTAGTACTCCTGCCTCAGTCTCCCAAGTAGCTGGGATTACAGGCGCCTGCCACCATGCCCGGCTAATTTTTGTATTTTTAGTAGAGATGAGGTTTCACCATATTGGCTAGGCTGGTCTCTTGGCCAGGCTGGTCTTGAACTCCTGCTCTTGTGATCCACCCGGCTCGACCTTCCGAAGTGCTGGGATTACAGGTGTGAGCCGCCACCCCTGGCTGCTCCAAACTTTTAAGCTAAGTGAGCCTATGGTTTCCTTTCTTGATTAAACCCATTTGAGCACTTTTCCATCACTTGCAGCCTCGGGAATCATCCAAGCACATTATGCCCCAGGATCTGGGTCAGGCAGCCTCTCTTGTTCCTCTCCTGCTCCAGCCAGGCTCAGCTGCTCATCAGTCAGCTCCTGACCTGTTTGTGCACCCCACCTGATCACCTGCCCTATCTCCCTCCTTGCCTCTCTGGGCTCAGGGTCCAGAGCCTCTGGTCAGCAGCCCTGTCTTCTGACTATTCCAGGCATCCTGGTCTGATCTTTCCCGCAGCGCCTCCTGTAACCGGTCTGACGTGCCTGTCATTTTCCCCACCCCCATTCCCCTTGAAGGCAAAGACTGGTTGGTTGTTTTCTTGCTGGTATGTAGTGAGCCATTCATTCTGTTTGGGCCAGTAACTAATTTACAAATAGATGGGGGTCCATTTCTGACTTCAGATTACAGAAGTAGCATTGCTTAAACAGGGAGGACCCAGTTGGATTTGGGGTAAGAATTCAGGCTAAGCGGGGCCTGAGCAGGGTAGTCATTTGGCTCATGAGTGTTGGGGTAGAAGTAGTTTGACTGGACTTGGCCAGACCCCTGGAGGAAGCCCCTCCTGTGATCGTTACTTGGCTCTCTCCAGACTTCAGCCCTTTCCATTCCTTCCATGCTTCAAGGGGTCTGTTGGAGCCAGAGTGGCATGGTCTGCACACAGGCGCTGAGCCTGTCCTGTGCACATCGCTCAGTTCCACTAGGTCTGGGGATTCTAGAACCTGTTGACAGAGCCCAGGTGGCCTAGTGAACCCCTCAGGCCCGCATGAGCCTGCACATGCCTCCTCCCTCCCTCGAGCCAGGCCTGGACAGATACTCCCCACCCACTCCCCCACCAACCCCCGTTTTTTGTTGTTGTTGTTGTTTGTTTGTTTGAGATGGGGTCTTACTGTCACCCAGGCTGGTGTGCAGTGGCACAGTCGGCTTACTGCAAACTCCACCTCCCCAGCTCGAGTGATCCTCCTACCTCAGCTTTCTGAGTACCTGGGACCACAGACACATGCCACCCACCCCACTAATTTTTTGTAGTTTTTGTAGAGATGGGGTTTCACCATGTTGCCCAGGCTGGTCTCAAACTCCTGAGCTCAAACAGTCTACCTGCCTTAGCCTCCAAAGTGCTGGAGTTACTGGCGTGAGACCCCACACCGGGCCAGACACTACCCTTAGCACATCCTCTGGACCTTAGCTCGAAGACGTTAAGTCCTTCTCAGCTGCTTCTACTTTGGTGACCTTGGAGCAGATCACTTAATGTCTCCAGGCCTCAGTCTTTTTACCTGTGACATGGAGCTAGCATTGCCATCACCTGGTGATACCATCCGATAGGGCTGAGGCGTGTTGAGTGCCTGGCACAATCCCTAACCTCCATTTAGTCATCCTGATCCTGAGGATGCTGATACTATCTCCCTGTGACAGATGAGGAAAGGAGTTTGGGGTGTTGTCTTTGCCAGAGTCCATGCAGTTGGAAGTGGGGAAGTGAGGATTTGAACTCCATCAATCATTCTGTCACCAAGCCCAGGGCATGGATCTCATTGAATCTAGTTACCAATCCTCCTTCACAAACCAAGGGCTGGACGTCATCCTTTGGTGTAAATCTTTATGGGGGACTATAGGGACTTTATCCTGGGGCCATAACAAAAATGGTTACAAGGGCAACAGCATCACCTCTTACTGTGTGCTCCCTCTGTGCCAAAAATTATCCCGTTTCATAGATGGGATAATTCAGGAAACTGGAGCGTAGCCAGGTTAGGTCTCTGGCACTGCACAACTGTGAGCCCAACTCCTCGTGCCCTCAGAGCCTTTGCTTTCATCCAGAGATAACCCTGCTGCCCACTGTAGAGGGAAGTGGGGTGCACATGAAGCCAGTGCCCCTGAACTGGACAGTGCCCGGCAAGCTCATTGGCTTGCCTGTGCCTTAGGTGGAGAGCTGGGGACTGTGCTGTCTTTTTCCACCTCAGAAGTCGGGAAGTTGTGCCTGAGCTGCCATGGAGTGCAGAGGGTCCCCTGTCCCTTTCTCAGCCAGACAGGGTCTCCAGTGTCTCTAAAGCCTTTGAACCATGCCAGCTCCAGTTCATGAGGTCTCTTCTTATGGAGAAGAAGGGAGTCTTTTCATTTCTTATGGGTAGGTTAATGAATAGTTTCAACAATCAACTAGAAATCCTCTAAGCCTCTTCCTCCCCTCCTCCCAAAGGAAGGGAGATGGAAAGAAAGAAAAGTATTTAATATGCAAGAGCTTGGGAGTTAGACCTGGATTCGAATCTCGACAGGTCTGTCTCCAAGTTGTATGTCCTTGGACAAATCACATCAAATATTTGCTTATCAGTGCTATTAATACTTTCTATAAAGTGAGGACGTCCCTATCCTACTAAAGGTAAACAGTGCTGGATACCTAGTAGGTACTAAACATGTACAAGCCCCTTCTCGACTTTTCAGGAAGGAGCCAGGGGATATCATTCCCCTAGATGAGTTTGTAGATACTGAACTTTGATTTTCACAAATGCTGTTCTTTTTCAAGGATAGTCTCTCCTTTAGTGTCAGCAACGAGCAGTTACAAGACGACATTGCATAATTTACACACTTCTAAATGCTCCCTTGGGGGTAAACAGGAAAACATTGGTTGTAGAACAAAATCCCAGATGTCAGGAAGGAGAGGCACACTTCCTTGGAAGAGGTACTTAGGCTGAAATTCACTGTCAGGTTTAAAACCTGCCTAGACTTTTCTAAATCTCTCTGTGCTGCAGTTGTAGATAGGGATGATTAAAATACAACTTTGTGCACATAAAACTGCCTTTCAATATTCAATATCCTTCCTGTGTAAAGACATATTTAGAATTAACAGTCGTGGCCAGGCACAATGTGGCTGAAGCGTCTAATCCCAGCACTTTGGGAAACCAAGGTGGGAGGGTTGCTTGAGGCAAGGAGTTTGAGACCAACCGTGGCAATATAATGAGACCTTGTCTGTACTAGAAATCACAAAAATTAGCTGGTGGTGGTGGCATGTGCCTGTAGTCCCAGCTACTCAGGAGGCCAGGGTGGGAGGATCGCTTGAGCTCTGTAAGCTGAGGCTACAGGGAGCTGAGATGACGATACTGCACTCCAGCTCAGGCGACAGAGCAAGACCCTGTCTCAAAGAAGACAAAAAAAAACAAGAAGTAAGATCTCTTGGATTTTACTGGACAGAAAAATGTTGACGTAATTGATACTTGGAACATATACTTTGCACACAAACATGTGGGCAGAATGGCCTTGGCAGGTAATCAAGACTGGACTTGAAGCCAGCCTGTTGCTGTTTTATCTCTCCAGGCCTATCTCCCACCCCACCCCCCGCAACCTGCATCACCCTGCTGGCAGGAGCTCAGAGCTACTGTCACTCTCCTGGAAACTATTTGTGTACCATAGAAATGCTCTCGTCCTTTGACCCAGTAATTTTACTCTTAGAAGTTTATTTACAGTCTAAGCTTGGTGGCTCACGCCTGTAATCCCAACACTTTGGGAGGCCAAGGTGGGAGGATCAGCTGAGGCAAGGAGTTCAGACCAGACTGACCAACATAGCAAGACCTTGTCTCCCTTTAATTCTTTTTTTTTTTTTTTTTTTTTTTTTAAGGAAGTTTATTTTTAAACAGCATGGGAGAACCTCCAGAATCATGGTGCATCCACAGAGTCAAATAGCCTATAGCCGAAAGCATGATTCTGAAGGCTCTATAGAAAAATGGGCAGGCCTTGCTATCGGGGGAAAGGAGTGGTTTTGTCAGTCAGACATGACAACGAAAGACATCTGGATAGGCCAGTGCCTAAAAAACTAGAACCTGGGGTAAAATGGAAGCACTTGTGTTGGTTGGGGCAGGGGGAATGGGTTGGTTGTATTCCCCTATGCTACATTGTCTTTTCAATTAAACCGTAAAAAACTGAAAATAAAAGTAGACTGCTCTAGCTTGAAGAGCACTTGAGCACTATTGAGAGCAATCGGCTGTGGAGTGGAGTGGATTGCAGGCCTCTGTGTACTGCAATCAGTGGAGAGGATTATTTCCCCTGTCATGCGTTTCCAGGAGGTTCAGAGCAGTGGTGTGCAACACGACACTCCAGTCAAGGCCACCAGTCATGTTCTTCATGTTCCCAGAGGCCTGGGGTCCATCCCACCAGGACTGACGGGACATCACCTGGTTTTCTCCACACAGTGAAGCCACACCCCATGGCTCTGGTAAACACCCTGGAGTGGTTCGTGCCTCTACCTTCCTCCCACCTGTGAGGCCTGGGGCCTGCTGCCAGGATGCTTATTCTTTGTCCCTCCTCTCTCCTTCTCAAGTCCGACCTTGGCCATCTTCCTCTTGGTCCTGCCCCTTCCACACTGATAAGCAGATGACACCACTGTCACTTCACATCCTTCAGTGGTTTTCCATCCTTAGAATAGATGCCTACACTCCTTATTGTCACGATCTACACATACTACAGGCCTTGGGCCCTTCTTTCCTTTCTCAGCTCAACTTGAACCCTCTCCCTCATTCTTGTGTGAGACCCTTCTCCCTGATCCAGTTCTTGTGACAGTCGGACTTCTTCAGGCCTCTCCTGGCCACCCATTGTATAGAGCGCATCCATGCCCTCCTGCTGTCACACTATATTCAGCCTTCCATGTCATGGCATACTTAGGAAACAGTGGCATCCACAGGGTGCAGTGGGTAAGTTGGAGGCGATACTAGGGGAAAGTGCAAGTGCTGTTTCTTCCATAGAAGTTATAACAAAAGACTGGGCACAGCGGCTCATGCCTGTAATTCCAGCACTTTGGGAGGCCGAGGTGGGTGAATTATCTGAGGTCACAAGTTCGAGACCAGCCTGATCAACATGGAGAAACCTTGTCTCTACTAAAAATACAAAATTAGCCAGGCGTGTGGCACATGCCTGTAATCCCAGCTACTCAGGAGGCCGAGGCAGGAGAATCACTTGAACCTGGGAGGCGGAGGTTGCGGTGAGCTGAGATTGTACCACTGCACTCCAGCCTGGGCAACAAGAGCGAAGCTCCGTTTCAAAAAGAAAAAAAAAAAAGAAAGAAATTTAAAGGAAAATAACATACAGGGTATTAGGGAACATAGTCAATACTGAACTTGGGTTGAATAACATTTTTATCGTTATTGTTTTTAGAGACAAGGTCTCGCTTATTATTGTTACTATTTTTTAGAGTTAGAGTCTTGCTCTAAAATCTCTAGTTGCAGGCCAGGCGCGGTGGCTCAAGCCTGTAATCTCAGCACTTTGGGAGGCCGAGGTGGGTGGATCACGAGGTCAAGAGATCGAGACCATCCTGGTCAACATGGTGAAACCCCGTCTCTACAAAAAATACAAAAACTTAGCTGGGCATGGGGGCGCATGCCTGTAATCCCAGCTACTCAGGAGGCTGAGGCAGGAGAATTGCCTGAACCCAGGAGGCGGAGGTTGCGGTGAGCCGAGATCGCGCTATTGCACTCCAGCCTGGGTAACAAGAGCGAAACTCCGTCTCAAAAAAAAAAAATCTCTAGTTGCCCAGGCTGGAATGCAGTAGCGCAATTATAGCTCACTGCAGCCTTGAGCTACTGGGCTCAAGGGATCCTCCTTGCATCACTCTCCCAAGTAGCTGCACTACAGGTTCGAGCCACCACGCCTCACTAGTTTTTGTAATTTTTTTTTGTAGAGATGACCTTGCTGTGTTGCCCAGGCTGGTCTTGAACTTCTGGCCTCAAATGATCCTTCCACCTTGACCTCCCAAAGGGTTGGGATTACATGTGTGAGCAACCGCACCCGGCTCAAATAACATTACTGAAATAACGTTGCCTTTTTCTTTTTTTTTTTTTAAAGAGCACTTGTGCCCAAGAATATCAATTTTATGTGTTAGGGTGTGGGTTTTGTTTTGTTTTTGTTTCTGTTTTGCTTGACTTTGATAATTGTTGTGGAGAAATTTTGTTTGCACAAGAAGGTAATAAAACTTAGAAGCATTTTTTTAGTAAACATTCAAAAACGTGTGAGTTGGCATTTCTAAAGAGTCTAGATTCTTTACTCTTTTCGTTTATATGTAGTGTTGAAATACAGTAATGCAAATGGACCTCAGTTTCATTCAGACTGTAAGTACTTCAAAATAATGAAGCTCTAATTTACATAAGGCATCTACTAAGGTATAGACAGTAGTATGCGGGTAAAAGTTTGGCAATCAGCTCTCAGAAAAAAGAAAAAAGTATCCGTATACATACATGTATATGCCTGTAAGTTTATAAGTTTTACTGATATAAAGGATGGGTGGCATGTAATTTGCAAATAATGAAATATACAAAACTGTTGTCAGTTCCACATAGCCAGTTGCTTCTCACCAACTGCTTCCATTGATTTTTGCAAAGCTTTTGTATCGACATGATTGATTGATATCTTTATTTGGTTGTTTTTGTTTTTATGAGACAGAGTCTCACTCTGTCACCCAGACTGGAGTGCGATGGTGCAACCTCCACCTCCTGAGTTCAAGTGATTCTTGTGCCTCAGCCTCCCAAGCAGCTGCAACTACAGGTGTGCACCACCACACCCAGCTAATTTTTTGTATTTTTAGTAGAGACGGGGTTTCACCATTTTGGCCAGGCTGGTCTTGAACTCCTGGCCTCAAGTGATCCACCTGCCTTGGCCTCCCAAAGTGCTGGGATCACAGACATGAGTCACTGCACCCAGCTTGTTCGATATCTTTATTGTGTTAATGAGTCAAGTGATGTCTTTGCCGAATTGGATAATAGTTTTCAGATATCTATACTATAAAAATTTTTTCTCAGTTGTTTTTGCTATTCCCAATGTAGTGACTTTAGACACAACACAGTTTTTAAGTTTAATTGCATTATTAACATTTTCTCCATCAATTTCGTTTTTTTTTTTTCCTCCTGGTTTAAAAAGGACTTGTTTATTTTGAGGAAAAAAGGTCCCAAACATCAGGCCGTTCACAAAAACAACCCACAGTATCAACTTTAGAAAACAAATCTTAAGACTATAACACTAATTATTTTTCTAGAGGATGCATTTGACATGCCAACTCTCATTCACAGAAATACACGTTACATTTGTGTTGAACTGCCACATACAGCACGATAATGTTGGGGTGTAACACACACACTTCTGACTCAAAGCTACTTTCAGGACCTACTTAACTAAATGAGATTTCCTTTGCAGTTAAGGAAGCAACTACTGAACTTACGTATGAATGAAAAGAACTATATTCCCTGCATAACGAGATTATTTTGGAGACAGTTGATAAAAACCATACATCCTTTTTATTGTTAAGTCATAAAGAGGTATCAAAATTAAAAGCAAAAACTACAGGGTAGGACTTAACAAAACTACTAGGGATGTCAAAGGAAGTGAAAATGGGACTAGGTGCAGGGAAATATGAATTAATGAACATGGGAAGGACAAGGATGGGGAGAACAGTGAGCATGTGCTGAAGATGCTAGGGGAGAGGATCTGGTGAAAAATTTGATCTTAGACAAGCGCCCAGTTAAAGAAGTAATGGAATAAGATTTCTAAAAACCCCACTATGTACTTAAGAGTCATCCTCTCCTTCCTCAGCATCTTTTTTATCATCCTTGATCAACTCCGGCTGGTCATCCCCCATCTTCATTATCATCATCATCCAGTAGGTCCCCCTCCTCAGCAGAGTCATCTGCACCCCTCTCAGACTACATCTTCACATTAGTCTCATCTTTTCTTCACGGAGCTGCTGCTCTGCTCTTCTTCTGACTCATCATTTTTCATCTCTACTGCTTGTTTGCTCTATTGCTTTTCAATTTTTTCCAGGTTTTCCAGAAGAGAATCCACTTTTTGTTTTATCTGGGTCAGCTCCTTCTTAATGGCCTGAAGGTCATCTCCTTTCAACTTTCCAGACTTGGAAGATCCCGCTGTCCACTCTTAGAATTGAAGCCACTTTTGTCCCTTCGTGGGGTGTTTGCTGATACATGCTGACGTTTCAAGGGCACGACAGCCCAAGCAATAGGAGGAGGAGGTACACGTGCTAGGTAATGTACATCCTATCATAATAATCCCATTGAAAGTCATAGTCCAAGTCAAAAGAGGAGCCATACATCTCTGCTGCAGACGGTTTCACACCTGGCGGTTCACTTTTGGCTCTGCAGCCAGGTTAATATCTAAAACCTGGCCAGAAATCATTCTGCCGTTCTCTCCTGCTGCAGCAGCCCGGGCATTTCTCTCATTATTGAACAAAGGCAAAGCCCTTATGAACAGAGCAGCCCACAATTTTGTCATACTTCGAAAAGATTGCCTCCACATCAGATTTCTTCACCCCCAGAGTGTTGAGATTCCCAATGAACACACAGGAGTTCATGGAGCGAGTATCTTTCTTGTTGGTAATGGTGCTGGCTGTTGTGTTTGATGATAAGGTTTCTCACAAAGCCGAAAACGTGGCTGAAGATAAAAAAAATCTCACTGTACATTTGCCGCGTAGTGCACTCCAAGTTGCATCATTGTGTTTAAAATGTCTTTATAAAATCAATTTTGGAATGGGAATGTGTGTATTCTGGAAGGGTAGGGAAGGGAGGTTAAAAATCAAAGCTGAGCTCCTGTGAGTAGGGATGGGGTTCGCCTTGCTGCCCAGGAGGGAGGAGGAAGAAGAGATTAGATTCTGAGTCTTCTACTCCCGGATTATACGTAGAGAAGCTGACTGCTGCTCGAGCTCGGCAACCTCTCTATCACTTTCTTAAGTCTGAACCCCAGGAGTTGACAAATTTTTGTAAAGGGCCAGATAGTAAATATTTCCAGCTTTGCAGGTCATGTGGCCATAGAGTCTCTGTTGTACTGCTGCCTTTGTAACACACAAGCAGCCATAGACAGTATGTGAGTGAATGAGCATGACTGTGTTCCAGTAAAACTTGATGTGGTCTGCCAGGCGCAGTGGCTCATGCCTGTAATCCCAACACTTTGGGAGGCTGAGGTGGGTGGATCACGAGGGCAGGAGATCAAAACCATTGTGATCAACATGGTGAAACCCTGTCTCTACTAAAAATACAAAAAGTTAGCTGGGTGTGGTGGCACACACCTGTAGTCCCAGCTATTCAGGAGGCTGAGGCAGGAGAATTGCTTGAACTCACGAGGTGGAGATTGCAGTGAGCCGAGATTGCACCACTGAACTACAGCCTGGGTAACAGTGAGAGACTCTGTCTAAAAAAAAACCTTGATGTGGTTAATTTATGTCAATGTGAATTTTACCTCAATGAACAACATGTCAAATGAAAAAAGTAAAACCTTTATTTACAAAAATAGACGATGTTATGGAATGACCCAGGCGTTTGCATATTTCTAGTTTGGAGCCCATAAATCAAGCACTGATTTATAGTGTTTGCCAGTTTCCATGGTGTAAGTTCTCACACCATGGCTGGTTTGAGGCCGCTAGCATGAGGTCACTGATTGTGAGTTTTGGAAGAGATACTCAGTAGCACAGCATTTACCCCATACTGATAGTGTAGTCATGAATAACCTCAGAAACCTAGATAGTACTACGTTTGGTTAAATAAGTAGGAAGTGATGAGTTTTGAGTACTGTGTCCTCCTTTGTTCTTAAAAGAACTTTTTGTCAGCTTATATAATGTAATTGTTAGTAATGGCTCCTTTGATACCTGAAAGTGTCACCACAGGCTGACTCTCTCAGAAGAGCTAGCATGAGCGGAGTCGCTGCCCCCTATCTGGCTTGGATGCCGAAGGGCTTGCAGCCCCAGAAGAGGAGATGTATTGGAATATCTGCAGATGGTAATCTGGCCCGGGCCTGGAGCCTTGTCCTGGTGCCCCTTGGCCTGCTTGCAGGGCTTTAGCCACAGTCAGGTTCCCTGTCCAGATGATGTCTGCACCTTTGCAGCTGGCTGCTGGGATAGTTCTCATGATCATAGTTTCCCATTGTGCATGCCTAGTACCCCTCATTGGCTCACGAGGAGCCAGCTGCCCTGAGAGGTGGGGTCATCATGCAACTTGCTCTAGATGAAGGGTGTCCAATCTTTTGGCTTCTCTGGGCCACATTAGAAGAAGAATTGTTTTGAGCCACACATAAAACACACTAACTATAGCTGATGAGCTAAAAAAAAAAAAATCTTATAATATTTTGAGAAAGTTTACCAATTTGTTTTGGGCTACATGTGGCCCGAGAGGTGTGGGTTAGACAAGCTTGCACTGCTTCTTGCTCCAGATGTATCACTGCCCCAGTTCTCTCAGGGCTCCAGGGCTGAGGTGACCACCTCCTCTGGCCCAGTGGTTGTGAGGGAAGCCTTCAACTCATATCACACTGTTTATTCTCTTCATGGCTTTTAGTGTGGCCTATGGTCTTGTCTGTTGTCTGCCTTCTCCTACATGAATGTGAGGCCTCTGTCTGCTCCCTGAGTTCCTCCTCAGAGGGCACAAGACACACGATATGGACACGTTCCTTTATTTATTTATTTTAAACAAAAGGAGACAGGATCTCTGTCACCGAGGTGTGAGGGCAATGGCACTGCCATAGCTCACTATAGCCTCGGATTCCTGGGCTCAAGTGATCCTACCACTTCAGCATCCTGAGTAGCTGGGACTACAGGTATATGCCACCACACCTGGCTAACTTTTTAATTTTAAATTTTTATATTAATTTTTTTTATTTTTTGGAAACAGTCTCACTGCATTGCCCAGACTGGTCTTAAACTCTGGGCTTCAAGCGATCCTCCCACCTCAGTCACCTGATTATCTGAGATTACAGGTGCATGCCATTGTGCCTGGTCAACGTTCTTATTTTCCCAGGAGATACATAGCAGCTGAGACCTGGAACAGTGGCTCACACCTGTAATCCCAACACTTTGGGAGTCTGAGACAAGAGGATCATTTGAGCCCAGAAGCTTAAGACCAGCCTGACCAACACTGGAGACCCTGTTTGTAAAAAGGTGACTGAATGAACTCTTGTGTCTGCAGCAGTTCCACTGTGCAGCCCAGGTGGGTTTGGGTTCCCATCCAAACCTACAAAGGTTTTCCTGATGCCAGACACCAACATTGCCTCCTGGTGTGTGCCAGGCACCCTACCCTTGGGAAACGGGCAGCCCTGTCTCAGCCTGCTCCCCTCCCAGATGGTGGCAGTCACTGTTGCTAACTTCATCACGAGGCCATCAAAAATCTCTCTAGGTTTCAGCATGGTTAATGCCACATTTTCTCCTTATCCCCCACTCCCCTCCAAAAAAAGGGAAACCCTCCTTCATTGTGTGTGTGTGTGTGTTTATTTTTCTGAGATGGAGTCTCACTCTGTCACCCAGGCTTGAGTGCAGTGGCATGATCTCTGCTCACTGCAACCTCCGCCTCCCAGGTTCAAACAATTCTCCTGCCTCAGCCTCCTGAGAAGTTGGGATTACAGGCATGCGCCACCACACTCAGCTAATTTTTGTATTTTTAGTAGAGACAGGGTTTCACCATGTTGGCCATTATGATCTTGAACTCCTGACCTCAGGTGATCCGCCTGCCTCAGCCTCCCAAAGTGGTGGAATTACAGGTGTGAGCCACTTCATCTGGCCCCGTTGTCTTCAGGCTGCTCTGTGCTGACTGTGCTGGCCTTATTTACAGGGCTGTACAGTCTCCTAAGAGTCAAGAGTCAAGCAGCCTCTCCTGCTGGCCACAGGGCCTGTCTCCTGACCTCACCTGCTGCCAGTGGGCCCAGGCTTGTGGATTCCAGATGGACCCACTCAGGGCTTGGTGAATCTGCAGGTTGGCTGTCTCCAGCTGCCTGGTGTGGCAGTGATCTGATGCTCTACCCTTGGCAGGCCTGAGTTTGAAAGAAGGAGGAAGGGGAAAATTGGCCTGTCTTGTTGACAGATTTGCCATGCATGAATATCTGCACACTGATGCAGAGCTTCAGCTCTTTGTAACCAGGAGTTGGATAAGAAGACAACTGTAAAAAACCACTTTGTGACTGGCAGGGTGCCTTGCAGCCTCAGCTGGTCATTTTCAAGGATCATCCATTTACAGGATGAACACTCAAGCCTCTTCCTCCCAATGCCATGGGGTCTGCCTGACAGTCCCCTCCTTGTCCAGCATCTCCCGCCTGCCTCCTCCTTCCCCTGCGCCTGCACCAAGCTGTCTCCCCCACCCTGTTCACCCAAGCCTCTCCTTTCTTTTTTTCTAGTGCCGTCTGGCCTGGGCAATGCAGAGCTGCTCCTGGCAGGGCGCCCTGTGCCCGTCCCCTCTCCTGCTGCTCTGTGTGCGGTGGGTAGGGGGTAGCCTGGCCCACACTACCTGCCCCAAGTGGATGGTGGCCCCAAGTGCTGCTGCCACTCTCTCTCTTCTATCCATTTCTCCTTTTCCTGGGCTTTGTTCATTTACCTGTCACTCATGGCCTCATCAGTGTCCTGTCCACACTGGTCTCAAACTCAGGACATTAAAAACCATAGGGTTTTAGGGACTTTCCTCTCAGCCTTCTTTCTGATTCTGCCTCCAACAATGTAAAAATTGCCTTTAGTGAGGTCTAATTTACATACAGTACAATGCACCTATTTCAGGTGTACATTTGGCAGTGGAAGTCCCTCATTTAACACTGATGTCTGTCTTGCTTTCACATTTGTCTTTTTATTGAGTTCTATGCTACATTTTGATGCATTTTGACAAATTCTTATACCCGTTTAACTACCCCAGTTGAGGTGTAGATATTTCCATCACTTAAAAAGTCCTCCCTCCCCCCACTGAGGGGCTACCATCAGTCCCCAGTTCACCCCACCATTGGGACCACACTGGCACTGCTGTTGGATGCCTTCAAGTACTGTTGAAGGTACAACCTGCCTTCAACACCAGCTGCAGGTTGGTGTTGATTTTCTCACTTGTGATGGGAGACGGGATAATGGCACCCACATGGGTAGATGAGGCTTACAGAGGCTTGGGACAGAGACATATTTTTGTGATCCCCAACCTAGCTGTGTAGACATGTATCACCTTGGGCAGGCATCCAATTTCTCTGAGTATCCGCATCTGTAAAATGCCCCTCCCCCACCCAAGTCCAGCTCTAGGACTCT